ATTAATCTATGACAAAGGAGGGAAGACTATACACTGGAGGAAAGACAGTCTCTTCAGTAAATGATGCTGGGAAAACTGGACAGCTACATGTAAAGAAATGAAATTAGAATGCTCTTTAACACCACACACAAAAATATGCTTTCAGTTTATAAAACAGACTTCCCTCTGCTTTGCTCAGGTTGAGTGTGTGTGCATGTGCATCTGTATATTTTTCCTGCCTATTTTAGTTGAGTACATACTTAGTTTACTTTCATTAGTTGTTACTCCATAACATAGCCATAGATTTTCCTCTAAACACCATTTATCAGCATATACATTGTCTTGTTTTAATTCTATAATCCAGAAATAATATTAACCTTATAGTATGAAGATAAATGCATAATAGTCACACTTCTTCTAAATTAAAAATTTTTTTTTCATTATCTTACAAAGTACTAAGTGGTACCCTATCTTTTTTATGTATATTTTTTTCTTCTAATTTCTTTTACACATTTGGTCATTAGACTTCCCATTCTACAAAAATTATGTTTCTCCTATGATTTGTCCAATTTCCTACTGATTGCACATTTGAACAGTTTTTAATGATTTAAATAATAATTAATAAAAACACTTCTAAATAATTTAAATAAATTTTAATCACTTGGAAGTAACTTGAGTTTTGGGGGAATGGAAGGTATCTGGATGTCAGTAGATACCACTAACTTTATTTTATTTATTTATTTATTTATTTATTTATTTTTAACATCTTTATTGGGGTATAACTGCTTTACAATGGTGTGTTAGTTTCTGCTTTATAACAGAGTGAATCAGTTATACATATACATATGTTCCCATATCTCTTCACTAACTTTATTTTTAAGTCCAGTAACTTTATTAGAATTTTTGTTTGTTTCTTTTCTTTTTTGTTTGTCTTTTTTTCTGGGAGAAGGAAGGATTTATTATTACTTGCAGCAAGTAAGGAGAATACCAGGGATCTTTCCCAAAGCAGTGTCTCCCTAACAGCAAAAGTGGTGACGTTTTAAGCTAAGGTACATGCATATTCATGAAGGGGCTTGAGCAGAGGAGAATCAGCATAGAATTGGGGCAAATGTCAACAGAGTCCAAGCTTTAGTTAATCAAAGTGAGGAGTGTCAACATCATTCCATCCTCCACCTGGGTGGGTCCTTAGTTCCTGCAGAACTTAATCATTTGACCAACAGGACAAATTCAGGATTCAGTCCAGAGAATAGTTACACTGCCTGGGTATAGCGCTGCTGCTGTCCAGTGCCTGGCCCGCTGCCCTGGGCTCGGCAGCAGCTGACTTGGCCATGCCGCTGCTGGGTCTGCAGGCAGCCTACCACCTACCTGGAGACACTACAGTGAGGTGGTGGCTGACAATGAGGATGACCCCAACTTCTTCAAGATGGTGGAGGGCTTCTTCCACCACAGGGCCAGCATCATGGAGGACAAGTTGGTGGAGGATCTCAAGATCCAGGAGAGTGAGGGTGCGTGGCATCCTGAGAATCACAAGCCCTGCAACCATGTGCTGAGCCTGTCCTTCCCCAGCCGGTGTGACCACAGCTCCTGGGAAGTCATCAGAGGCTACTGGGCCCAGTACAACATGGATTTGTTCTGTTTTTAATAGATTTGAATCCATTTCTTCCCTTGGATACAATGCCTTTTAAAATATATAGATTTATACCTCTATTTCAGGAAAGTTTTCTTAAATTATACCTTTAAATAGTTTTTCTGTTTAAATTTTCTGGGCTTTTTCTGGGGGGTAGAGGGAGATACTAACTATACATATCCTTTCCTTTTCTTTGTCTTATGCATATTCTTCTTTGTCTGACTTCCATGTGTAATATTTTCCCTAAAATCAATTTTAACACTTTCAAAAAAAATCTAATTTTGCTGATTAGTCTCAAGCCTGTCATGCATATTCTTCACTCTCTTTTCTGTGAATCTCTCTCTCTCTCTCTTGCTTCATCTGTATTTCTGGTATCTTTTTATCCCTTTTTTTTCTTCTCCATTTCTTTCCTCACCTCTGTTAATTTATTGTCTTTTTAGTTCATTTTTTAACTCTTTCATCCAGGCTTTGCAGTCTTATTTCAAAGAGCTCATTTTTTCATGAATTCATTTGTGTGTGGAGAACATCTTAGTTACAGTTTGACCTGCCTGTGGCAACCGTTTTCAAAGGTCTGATCTTCATCTCCTTCTCTTTGGGTCATTTTTAATTACTGCTTTTCCCTGTGGTATGTTTGCACAGATCCCACAGTGACTGGTGTTGACTGTGACTGTTCACTTCTACATAATGGAATTCATCTTTGCATGAGGGGAGCCCTTCCCCAGTGATTGTTCATCAGGGCTGGGCAGGGGCTGGGGATGAGCCTGAGTAGGAGACTTCTCCGGTTCTCATCTTTGCCAAGGAACACTGTCACTGCCACTCAGCCATGTGACGATGACTGCTCTGAGATGCAGACGATCTCTCTGGATCTCTGGGAATCCACCACTAGAATGCACTTTTCACTGGAGCGCCTAATTCATCTTCCTTTTTCACTGTGCATCTAGATAGCCCCAGTGTGGATCTGCGTGGCTCCAGGTCTGTGAGCCACCAACAGATCCTACTATATTCAGGCAATGGTGAAACAAACATAATAGGATATGATTCACAGTCCAAAGAGGAAGACATGCATATAAATAAAGAATTATAGCAATTTTTATATTTTTGGCACATTCCCTTTATTGGATATGTGATTTGCAAATATTTTTCCCATTCTGTGGCTGTCCTTTCATTCTCTTAATTCACTGAGGGGGGCATGGGAAATACTCAGTGCCTGTTGACTCCCTCCCCCGTCCCTTCGTATGCACAGAATAGGTTACAGGTTAACAACTCTTTCCATGCATGTTTTTTTAACTTAATCCTCATAAAAACCAGAAGCACTCCTAATTCAATTATACCCATGGAGTCTGTGGCTCAGATAAATGAGATGATCCAACAGAACCTTCCTTGCTGGAGAAATAGCAGGCAGGGTCCCCACCCAGCCTCCCACCTCCACATCCACTCCCAGCACCCACGTCCATCCCACCAGGGGCTTCTATGAAGGCCTCTCACCTTTCTACACGTGAGTTCATTGGGAAAGCACTTTTGGGCGTACAATCTCATCTGTTCTCACCAAGATGTCCACTGGCAGACGAATGGATAAAGAAGATGTGGCACATATATACAATGGAATATTACTCAGCCATAAAAAGAAACAAAATTGAGTTATTTGTAGTGAGGTGGATGGACCTAGAGTCTGTCATACAGAGTGAATAAGTCAGAGAGAAAAACAAATACCGTATGTTAACACATATATATGGAATCTAAAAAAAAAAAAAAAGGTTCTGAAGAACCTAGGGGCAGGACAGGAATAAAGATGCAGACGTAGAGAACGGACTTGAGGACACAGGGAGGGAGAAGGGTAAGCTGGGATGAAGTGAGAGAGTAACACTGACATATATACACTACAAAATGCAAAATAGATAGCTAGTGAGAAGCAGCCATATAGCACAGGTCAGTTCGGTGCTTTGTGACCACCTAGAGGGATGGGAGAGGGAGGGTGGGAGGGAGACCCAAGAGGGAGGAGATATGGGAATATATGTATACGTATAGCTGATTCACTTTGTTATACAGCAGAAAGTAACACACCACTGTAAGTTAATTATACTCCAATAAAGATGTTAAAAAATTTTTTTTTTAATGAAAGCTAGATGTTTTAAAATTTACATGGGCAAAGGATCAAGGTTTTCTGTGTGTTTTGTTTCCTCATTAATTAGTGCAAGGTCAAGAATGGCCTCTGACAGCTGAACCCAGACAAGCTGTCTCTGCTGGCACACCCTGGCTCCCCGCAGAGCGAACAGCATGGCTCAGCCTGGAGAAAACGGCAGGACAGGCTCTAGCCAGACTAACCAAGAGAAATACCATTCATGCTACAGGTGGAAGAGAAAGTTTTCCAGTTGCCACGTTTTAAAAAGTAAAGATAAACAGGTGAAATTTATTTTATATTTTCTTTATTATATCTAAAACATTGTCACTTCAACACATATTCAAGTGTAAAAGTTATGGATGAGATATTTTACACTCTTAACTTTCATACTAAGTGTCCGACATCCAGTGAGTATCTTACACTTTTGACACATCTGCATTTGGACTAGCCACACTTCCAGTATCAAGAGCCTCCTATGGCTAGTGGCTACCTCACTGGACAGCTAGTCAGCAGAGTTCCCTGTGTGCATAGGGAAGAGGGCCCCTTACCTGCCTCTACCTGACCTGAGGGATGCCATAAAGACTTCTTAATTACTGTCGTTATTATAATTATCATTTATGGAACATTCACCATGTGCCAAGGATTTGTGTGTGTGTCTGTATATATAAATACACACACGCTCAGACCCTAACAGAACCTGATGTATCATGGTCCCACCTTACGAAGGCTCGTAGAAAGTTAAGTAACTTTCCCAAAGGCATGTGGACTATGGGGGCTGGGTCAGCTGCCTCCAGAGCCTATGCATTTCCCCATCCACACACTCACATGTATTGCTCTCGGTCTGTGTGTCCTACTCCAGCGGTAGAAAACCACTCATTTTTGTTGTGAGGACACTTCATTCTTCCAGCACCTGGCAGGCAGCTCTCGCTTACGTCCCAGCTCAAGTCCTGTGGCTGTTTCTATGAGGGGGGTCAGTTTAACAACCCTCAGGGCAGGCACCCACAGAAGTTGAGTCAGAAGGGAAGGCTGCAGTGCAGGCGGAGCCAAGGTCTTCCCTTGGACAGCATCACAGTGCGTGGCCCCTGTTTGGCTGCCTTGAACACCTGCCATATCTGATTCCATGACACCCTGTGACTGAGGTCCATAAACCTTTGACATAACCCTTTGTGGAATCAGTCAGTCACCTCCTCAGCAAGAGTAACGAGGTGGCTGGAGGCCACATAGCAGGTGAGGCCCACCCCAAATAGAGCGAGCTGCGAGGTTGAAGAGAGAGGGCTACCAGATGGGCTCCCGAGGAAGGAAGGGCTCGCTGTAACACCTGCGTGACTTGGAGAGCAAACTCCCGATCATGCAAGAGAACTGGAAACAGAGGTGAGTCAGGTTGAGCACCAGGAAGACCAGCTGAGGGAGGCAACACAAACAAACCAGATGAACAAAAATACTGGTAAATTGTTTCTTAAGGTCTAAGCTCCACAGGCCCTTGGGGTGGTTTGAATGCATCCAGCACGGAAACCCCACCCGGTGCCCGGCGTGATGGACACAAATGAGTTTGACTTGGGCCCTGAACTCCTCGAAACCCTGGAGTGTGAATATCACTCTCCTGCCTATGAGGTCTCCTAACCTGCATGCCAGGCCCTCCCAGTGTTTCCTCAAGATGCTCAAAAGAATGTTTTCATGTATTTGTGAAATACATAAAATACGAAATATATATTATCAGTTTCCTTGGACAAGTAAAAAACCTTTAAAAGCTCCTGTATAAGGAATTTCCTTCAAGTTCTGTTTATGGTTATCTTGCCATTGATGAGCTACCCATTCGTCCATGCCTTCACTTATTCATGCCTTCATTCATTAAGAAGAACAAGGGGAAGAAGAGGATGCTCAGTAACATTGGGAAATAACCTCTTTGAGTCAAGTCGGCCTTGTAGAGCTCCTGTGGACCCTCTGAGTCGACGCTTTTAAGCTAAAAAGGTCCTCTTTTGGGGGATTCCCCCTTCCCTCCCTCTGGGGAGTAGTGCTGGCACACACTAACATTCATTTCAAAGCAAAGAAAGAGTGAGCATGCAGTGAGTGCTGACTGCGTATCAGGCACTACATCCCTGTGACTGGAAGAAGAATGGTAATCACTGCTTCACAGAAGACTGACACGAGGTAGCATGTGTCGAAAGCACTCTGTGAACCACAACCACACGGTGAGCACTAATCTCACACCCCACCTTCCTGCCTCCACGCCCCCAGCTCATCACAAAGTGCTTTGTGGCTCTCGGATGGTCACGCGCCCAAACTCAGATTAGGTCATGAACTTTCGGGGGGCCTTTCTTTTTAAAAAAAATTACAGATGTGTGGGGTTTTTTAATTAATTTATTTATTTATTTATTTTTGGCTGAGCTGGGTCTTCGTTGCTGCACACGGGCTTTCTCTAGCTGCGGTGAGCGGGGGCTACTCTTTGTTGCAGTGCATGGGCTTCTCATTGCGGTGGCTTCTCTTGTTGCAGAGCATGGGCTCTAGGCGTGTGGGCTTCAGTAGTTTTGGCACGTGGGCTCAGTAGTTGTGTCACATGGGCTCCGTAGTTGTGGAGCACAGGCTTAGTTGCTCCACGGCATGTGGGATCTTCCCGGACCAGGGCTTGAACCCATGTTCCCTGCATTGGCAGGCAGATTCTTAACCACTGTGCCACCAGGGAAGCCCACCAGGAGGGGCCTTACACATTCCTTTCCATCTTCTTTTGGAGTCATATGCACTGTGCCCCATAGGCCCAATATCAGAAGCTGCAAATGTCATCAGAGAAAAGTTCATTTTGGGTGGTTAATGTGAGGTATTGGATAGCACCACTGTGTGCCAAGCCACACTGGAGTCTGGGACAGAAGGAAAAACCAGTAGCACTGACCCTGTCTTTGTTTAAAATTTTGATGTTTTGTCCATCACGAACTTTTTGGCATGAATTTTGATTTTTTATTTTGCACTAGAATATTACTTATCTTGAGGATGGTTTTTGGTACCCGAGGTGAGTGCAGCACCTGGGAGCAGCCCATTCTCCCGTCCTTCACTTCCCTTTGTGCTCACACACAGGCACAGCTCTGAGGCTCTATTCACAACCCCAACATGGACTGTGTCATTCAACTGTCTCTGGAGTCTAAAACCTCACAGCATTTCCTCTCTTCACTCCCGAGGCAAAACATGCTTGACCTGGAGTGTCAGCTGGTCTGAGATCTTCATAGCAGAAAAGTAAAATATTGCCAAAAGGCAGCAAAGTTCCTGAGGAAAAGTTCAGAATGATTTCTGGTACTTTCCATTGCTCAAGGAAACTACAGGAATACATTCCATCTTACCAAGACCCATTGCGTTAAAGGCGTGTGCTCCTTTACCCCCCACCCCCTGCCAGCTCATATGTTGAAGCCCTAACCCTCAGTGTGGCTGTTTTTGGAGATGGGCCCTCTCAGGAAGCAACTAAGGTTAAATGAGTTCATAAGGGTGAGGTCCCAACGATGGAATTAGGGTTCTTATAAGAAGAGGAAGAGATACCAGACACACCAGAGATCCCTCTCGCCACCACGTAAGGACACAGTAAGGCGGCTGTCTGCAAGCCAGGAAGGGAGCTCTCACCAGCACCCGACCACACCATCACCTGCATCTCAGACTTCCAGCCTCCAGAACTGTGGAAAATCAGTGTTTGCCATTTAAGTCCCCCAGAGTACGGTATTTCATTATGGCAGCCTGAGCTAAGATCCAGCTGCGGATAAAGCATAAGGCCTGGATGGAGGAGGGTGCCCAGCCCTGGGTGAAGCTCCTGTGTTCCATGAGTGGTGCAAGTGCCCAATGAACTCACCTCTGGAAGCAGGATGTGGTACAGTGGGGCTGAGTCACTGCAGAAGATGGTGACTGACTCCAGCAGGGAGGAGAGGGTAAGACCCCCAGTGGGGAGCATCTCAGCACTTAGGGACACGCTTGAGAAGAGCTGGGTTGGAGGGTTGTAGAGGGTAAAGTGCATGGACACAGCCCTGGTGCTGTGGTCAATCCAACCACTGGCCCTGGGGCCGGTCAGGGCTGCACGTGCAGCAGGCCTGCAAAGTGGTGCAAGTCATAGGGACCCTAGCAGCACCCCGTCCCAGGCTCCACACCCAGACACCGGATGCAACTCCTGGGCTCACAGAGCTGGACAGATGGTCCTTCTGCGTCTTCCGACCCCTTCAACAGTTCATTGTCCCTCTCTCCTTGCCTGGGACCCCCAGGCAGAGGGAATCTTGCAGAGAGGAGGGCTTCCATTTCCCATAGGTACAACTCAGGGAGAAATACCCCATCTATCACCACAAGGATTCTAGAATATTCATTTTTCTTTTTTGGCAATGGACTCCATCATTGGAAACAAGCTACCTTTTACCAATCCATACTTACTAACAATTAAATAATTTCTTTGTTGTTGTTGTTGTTGTTATTAGTATTACTCAGAGGCAGGCATTACTGTAACTGCCACAGAGCTCCCTGTCAGTCTCAGACAATCTGTCACCACCGGTGTTAGCATAATACCAGGGAGGTGGTGGCAGGGGCAGTGCGACTGGTGGGACAGGCCAGGCTGGCCGACTGCAGTCTGTGACTGCAACGTGGGTGGCTTGAGCCTCCGTCCCTCATCTGCACGATGCAGTAGGTTAGCCCTACTTCATAGAGGTGCTCAAGGACCAGATGAGGCCGTATAAACACCCTGCTTAGCACAGAACAAGTGTCCTTTAGGTTCTATAAGCTCCAGACCTTCTAGCAACCTGGAAGGAAGTTTTGGCTTGTGCTTTCTCATGCACTTGGAGACTGCAGGGCTGAGTTTGCCTTCTACTTCTGTCATGGCCTAACTGCATGGCCCCGGGGAAGTGACTCTGTCATTGCACAGTAATAACCACCTTGTTCTGGCCCTGGCAAGCTGCTCTCAGTGCAGACCTGCTGCATCCAGGCAGCCGTACTAGAGTGGACAAGTGTGGACGAAGGTGACCCTCTGAATCACACTGACCTTGTGCTGCCCAGGCCGAGCTCTCCTCCTGGGAGTCCCTGGGGCCACCTGGGGCCACTCTTTGGATCTCTGGGTCTATCACAGAGGGGGTTTCAGAGCCTCCATCTTTGGGGCCACATGTAGGGAA